GCTGGCTGAATGCTAGATGCTGAAGGAGGGATCACTGCTGGCTGAATGCTAGATGCTGAAGGAGGGATCACTGCTGGCTGAATGCTAGATGCTGTAGGAGGGATCACTGCTGGCTGAATGCTAGATGCTGTAGGAAGGGTTAGTGCTGGCTAAATGCTAGATGCTGTAGGAGGGATCACTGCTGGCTGAATGCTAGATGCCAGAGGCCCTGAGGGGGATTGTCTCTGACGTTCTCTCTGAGCTTTTTTGTACCTGCACATGTTGCTACTGACGGAGTTCACCTAAGTAACCTGCTGACGCTGTGACCTCAGCAGCTGAAAACAAACCACGCAAGGTGATCTCTGGAGGTTCTGCCACACCTTCATCTCACTCTTATTTTGTCATCTATGGGTGTTCCCACAGATCTGTGAATGGCTCTGAGGGGTGGTCTCCCTGCGTTGCTCTAACGGTGCACACTCACATGTGTTATGATTGCACGGTCCTTTGGGACTGCTGTGTTTGTGGGAGCCTGTTCTTGGCCTCTCCCTCTGTGCCCTGCTGAGGCCTTGTGCCTGCTCAGGTATCTGCCGTGAGGCCTGAGTTGAGGGGGCTGGATGGTATGGGGTGAGCTGCTTCCTTCTGGGGATCGGTGGACTCAAAGCAGCTCAACACCTGGGCCGCAGAGGTTCTCCTGACTGAGGACATGTCGGGGATAGCAGTTTTCAGCAGCTCTGCCATCCTCCTCCTTACCTGTCCCCTCTCTGTCCGCACGTCTCCCCGGATAGCCTAAAGCTAAGCAGGGACCTTTCAGGACTCCCAGCCTGCCCCATGATAAACAAGAGAAGAAGACGTTGCCTGTTTTTGTTGTTTCTTCTCATCTGGATTTTGGATTTTATTCCAGCCAGTACACACTTTGTTACAGCCACAGTGAGGGACATGTATACGATCATTTTGAGTCAGAATTACGGAGGGGGGGTGTCTGACTCTCTGAGGGAGGCGTTGTACAGACTGAGGCAGGAAAGACTTCCTGTGGCTCTGAGGTGCATCGGGGGGAGGAGGCTTCTGCTGAAGGAGCTGCTCTGCTGGGCCGCTGTGTCGTAGAGATGGACTGAAGCCTGGACAGCTCCTCCCCACGACTTCACCAGCCCTCCTGACCAGTTTTAGTCTGTTGTTGTCCGCCCGTTATCCCACTGCCCAGCATGCCACAGCAAAGGAGATCCTACTGACTCCCTCAGCATCGTCCCACAGATGTTAAAAGACCTCAGCCTCCTCAGGAAGAAGAGTCGGCTCTGGCCCTTTTTGTAGACCGCATCAGTGTTTGTAGTCCAGTCCAGGGACCATCACAGATGTCCCTTAACCAGCAGCAGACCTGCAGCACAGCATCAGAACCGGTGGAGAGCAGGCGCCCACAGCTCCTCTACAACAGATCACAGATAGGAAGACGTGTTGAAGGACTGTGCTGATGAGTGTGTGTGTGTGTGTGTGTGTGTCTGTGTCTGCTGCAGAGCACCTATGACCGCTGTCCCTTTGAGCTGGTGCGCTGCATTAGACACATCTTGCAGTCCGAGCAGAGGCTGGTTCAAGAGGCTACAAACGTAAGTCTGGAAGGGTTGGATTAGAGCTCCAGTAAACGGGAGTGGAATCATTTAGGTACATTCAAATGCACTTTGTCTCAGAGGTAGAGTGAAGAGTGAAACCCTTTTAAATGATGTGTGTTTAGACCAGCTGCGGCGCTGGAGGGCAGGCCATGGACACCCTGTCCCAGCGGCATCAGCAGATCAACCAGGCCTTTGAGGAGCTCCGCCTGGCCACCCAGGAGACGGAGAACGAACTGAGGAAGCTGCAGCACAGCCAGGAATACTTCATCATACAGTACCAGGAAAACCTGCGCATCCAGGGTGAAAACAAAAGACAGCTGCACCCCAACACCCATGACAGCATCTCATTAAAATGTCTGTTTGTCTGAAGGGAATATGTTAGTTAGCGCTGTCGGGGGGGGGGGAGGGCTGTCTGACTTTCTTATGTCAGAAGAAAGTCTTTGTTTCTCTCACTAGTCTGTTCCAATGGAGCTAAAACACTCTTGTTACGACATCTACAACTGTCCACTCGTCCGTCTTGTGGTTGAGATGAACTAGTGGTGGGAGGACGGTTGGATGTGGATGGGCTGGCAAACGGATGCTGTAACCCTCCCCACTTGAAGTGACCCACCCTAAATACATGGTTCTCCCATTTTCTACTGAACCCCCCCCCTTCCTCTCAGGCCCCCTCGTCCCAACAAAACTCTAGCAAATGGATTCAAGAGTTGAACTTTTACTGATGCTGAGTATTTTTCTGTTACGATTTGCTTTATTGTCAAAGGATCCAAGTGCGGGCCAGGAAAAAAAAGAAGAAAAAAGGAACTATTGAACTTCAGAATATGGAGGTTTAGTGTGAAAAGCAACCCAACGCGGTGCAAAGCCATAAAGTCTCTGCATTTAAACTTGGAGAAAAAACACAATCCTAGAAACTGAGAGTTGACCTGAAAGATTATGAGCAAAAATGGAAGAAAAAGGCATGGTAACAGGAGACTTTTTAAACTTAGTTTAAGTTTTTACAACAAGGGTCCAAAGAGAAAATGATAAGGTCCACACTGAAATCAAGGCCTTTCATTTTTTGTCTTTCAACAAAAGGCGTAATGTTTAGTTGCTCTTCGTTGTACCGTGTGCTGGAGTGAGTCTCAACTCATGAACAAAGGTCAGACCAGCCGCTGGGCCTCTGATCCAATGAGCCGCTGGGCTGGTTCAGTCAGCCTTTGCACTGGGAGCCCCACGTCTGCTTTGGTTTGTGACATCCGCTGTTTTTCTTGCTTTCCCAGCCCAGCTGAGCAGCCTGACCTCGCTGCCTGCAGCCGAGCGCACCGAGAAGGAGAGCAGCCTGCAGAGCAAGAGGGCCACCGTGGAGGCCTGGCTCACCCGAGAAGCCAGCACCCTCCAGAAATACAGGCTGGTATGGGACTGCTGTAGGCCAGCGTCATACAGAAAGCTACAGCCCCCAACACTACAGCCCCCAACACTACAGCCCCCAACACAACACAGAGGCTGGCTACAGCCCCCAACACTACAGCCCCCAACACAACACAGAGGCTGGCTACAGCCCCCAACACAACACAGAGGCTGGCTACAGCCCCCAACACTACAGCCCCCAACACAACACACAGTCTGGCTACAGCCCCCAACACAACACACAGTCTGGCTACAGCCCCCAACACAACACACAGTCTGGCTACAGCCCCCAACACAACAGCCCCCAACACAACACAGAGTCTGGCTACAGCCCCCAACACATCTGATCCCTGGTGCCTGTAGCTTGGTACAATGGACAGGGAGTCGACAGTGGGACAGAAATAATGTGTGTATCAGCTGTGTTTGATGCACATTGTTGTGGAAATTCTTTAAATGAATGAGACAATGTTTCTCAGTAATTAGGGAAGATCAATCTTGTCCAATAAAGGTATTTATTTGAAGGCAAACAGTGTTCAAAGATGCAGATCACAGAGTAAACTCAAGTGAGTGCATGTGGAGAGAAAGGTACGTCCCCTTATATACCTTAGCATGGGTAAAAGAGAAGAAAAGCCCACTGTGTTTCTCATCAATTACAAACAAAGATGTTCTAATTTGCACCTCAGTCCTCAAGGAAGCCCCATGAAGACTCACCAAAAGGACAAAGCTATGCGTGTTCAGTCAGGAAGGGCCCCCATGTGGACTGACCAAAAGGAGAACGTTCTCAGGAGATGAGTGAGGATGGCACAAAGGACAAGTCATATAACTTCAAAGATTAACACAGGAACACAGTCATCCTTGAAGGGATTAAGGAAAATGTCGCATTTCCTACTGGTACAGAAAATAACAGTTGCCAGACATTGGAGACAATTCCCCCTAAAAGAATTAAGAACAAGGTACCCTTAACAAAGAACCAAAGAGAAAAAGATCTCAGCTGAAGAACACGGGTGTTGTTACAGGCTAGAGATAGTTGAGTAATGAGCGAATGAGTAAACACCATCTGCTGTCTTGGAAAATAAATTTAACTCATGACAAGCACTGAGCTGCAAAAACAGTTTTTCCTGTTTTCAGGACCTGTCAGAACAGCACCAGAAGACCCTGGGGCTGCTGAGGAAACAGCAGACTCTGATCCTGGACGAGGAGCTCATTCAGTGGAAGAGGAGACAGCAGCTGGCTGGCAACGGGGGTCCAAATGAGGGCGCGCTGGATGTTCTCCAGTCCTGGTGCGTACACAATGGACTTGACAAGCTATGGTCCAGGGCTGCTGGTGGTGTGGAGGTCAGCACCATGGCCTCACAGCCAGAGGGTTCTGGGTTGGAGTCCCGGGGGAACCAGGACCTTTCTGGGTGGAGTCTGCATGTTCTCCTGTGTCTGTGGGTTCTCTCCGGGTTCTCCGGCTTCCTCCCACCCTCCAAAAACCTGCATGTTAGGTTGGCTGGACTCCAGACTGCCCTTAGTGTGAGTGTGTGTGGTTGTTGGTCCTTGTGTGTCTCTGTGTGTCCCTGTGATGGACTGGGGACCGTCCAGGGGGACCCCGCCTCTTCCCATTGGCTACTGGGATAGGCTCCAGTCCCCCCCGACCCCATTAGGGGATAAGTGGTATCGATAATGGATGGATGTTATGTTCCAGGCAGCAACCTGTTGATTAAACAATGAGTCGTTGTGTTTGTACTGTTTATTTATGGAGACGTTAGGAATCTGCTGAGTCTTTGTACTTCCTCCCCTCCCTGATGTCAAGGTGTGAAAAGCTGGCAGACTATATCTGGCAGAACCGGCAGCAGATTCGGCGCTGCGAGCATCTGACCCAGCAGCTTCCTCTGCCTGGTCCCATGGAAGAGCTGCTGAGCAAGCTCAACGCCGACATCACAGACATCATCTCTGCACTGGTTACCAGGTCTGAATACTCTTTCTACTGGTCTGTACTGCTCATACTGTCACTGTTACAAGAATTGGTTCCAAAAACCTATGATAACTCCTTAATAAACACTCCAGATAATTACACATAGCAAGAAAACAAATGACTTCTAGAAGAGAGATGGAAAAATAAATAAATGATAAAGAAGTAATCAATAAAAAGGGTTTTTATTGGCCCTTTAGCTCAGAGACTGAAGAACGGAGGTAGAGGTGGAGACTGAGATACAGGACCAGCCCTAACTCACTCTGACTTTACACAGGAACTTTAAACTAACATAACTTATTTTATTTATTTTCTATATTTAAATTTTTTTTCTATGACTTTGTATGTTGGAAATATACTTCAGTGGAAAATCCGTATGTTTAGGCAGTAAGTAGAGGTTCTGCTGTACTAGCATGTGGAGAACAGAAGCAGCCTCTGGGATCCATCTGCTGTGGTCTCTCTGTTGTGAAATGTCCGCATGCTGCCTGAAATACAGGAAGGTTTGTGTAGGTCAAATGTTTCTGGCAAGCACTTCCTGTCCGAAGGCTCTGCTGCTCTACTGTCTCACTTCCAACCTGTCTAGTCAGTAGAATTAAGGTCAGCAAAAAACAAACTAATCACAGAGCTACAAACCATGAAACCAACTATGAAACCAGCTCACTGTGCTTCTTGAAAAAGCTGAGGCCCTTCAAAGTGTGTAAGTCAGTTGTGGAGAGAACAGTGTGAGTGTTGGGAGGTTGTTCCATTCAGAAGGACCCGGAGGGACTAAACCGAATCTCCTCCTCACCTAATGAGCTATTTAGAGGTGAGGATCCCACTTCCTGCCCTCATCTAGTTAACATCTCCCTTCAGACTGGACCATTTCTTAAAAAGGGCTGTCTCTGAGCCTTTTCCAGAGGAGCAGCCTGGACGCTCAGAACTGAACAGTTGATATCAAACCTGCCATTCTCAGGAAAAGTCCTGGAAAAAGTCTGACACCAGCAGCTGACAATTTCTCCTGTCAACTCTGGGGGGGTATCTCAAGCGGACAACCTTTATTCCTGTTTGTCTGTCTCGTTGGTTTTCGTGAATAGAATCTCTCCTCATTAACCCTCCCATCATAATGAGTTCACCCTCATGTCATTGCTTCCTCTTTCTTCCAGCACCTTCATCATTGAGAAGCAGCCCCCCCAGGTGTTAAAGACCCAGACCAAGTTTGCAGCCACAGTCCGGCTTCTGGTGGGCGGGAAGCTCAACGTCCACATGAACCCGCCGCAGGTCAAGGCCATGATTGTGAGCGAGCTGCAGGCCAAAGCTCTGCTGAAGAATGAGAGCACACACAGGTGAGGCCAGACAGTCACTGGACATAGCAGTTAGCCGGAGCTGTCCCTGAAGGCCTGGAGCCCACCGTGGGCGTGTTGTGGGTGGCTGAAATGCCTCCCTGGGTCTGCCTCTGGAGGCTTTGGCTGAATGGCTCCTCATGCATGCAGCTGTGGAGCTCTCTGAGGTGGAGGAAGACTTGAGTGTAGCCGGACGGCTGCTGCTTTCAGTGTCTGAACGCTGGCAGGGATTTGCTGGAAGCTGGGGGGGCTGACTCAAAGCTGTTGGTTTGCTGTTGGGATTCTTTTAATGTGGCATGATGGGATTTCTTTTGTTGTCTTGGCAGTGAAAGCAGTGGAGAAATCCTCAACAACAACTGTGTGATGGAGTACCATCAGACCACGGGCACCCTCAGTGCCCACTTCAGGAACATGGTAAGCCTTGGTTTAATTTGTGGGAAAACAGATCCTCCTCATTCCATTTTGCTCTTATTTTGGCTTCAGGCTGATAAAACCCTCTTTGAGGAATGCTTTACTGGTCATTTTCCACCTCGTGCCCCCCTCCCAAACCCATCCTTAGCTAAACATACTCCCCCTTTGGACCCTGGCCTGTACTTAGAGCGGCTCCATGCTTGGCAGATAGCCAAACTCTGCCTGTCCTGTTGGCCTAACCACCCCGTGGCTTCCCTCTGGTCTGCCCTGTGGGTCAACACTTAATGAAGAAAAATTGCCTGTTCGTATCTGTTGGATTTGGATGGTTGAAAGCTGTTCTCCTCTGGTCATGTTGACTCATCTGGTTGCTGGAGGCTCCACCCTCTGGTCCAGGTCCTGATTATCTCACCACAGGTGTTACAGCCATTCTCCTCCTCCAGGACAATGTGGCTGCTGTTTGCCTCAGGTTTTGTCCAGGAGGAGAAACCAAACACACTCCCTGCTCACTGAGCCTCACGGGAACATGTGGCTGACCGGCCCAGCCTGGCTGACCGGCCCAGCCTGGCTGACCGGCCCAGCCTGGGTCAGTCATTCGGCCTACAGAGGGAGGTCTGTGTCTTAAGCTGACATAATCCTGGAGCATGTTTAGTCCTGTCTCAGCCCGGCTGCTGTCTGTGGAGGGATGATGGCCGCCTCTGGACTGGACCTCTGATTCAGCTGCAGAGCCTTCTGGTATTTCTGCTGCAGAAACAGTGAGGAAGGCCCTGTGCTGATGCGGTGCTGCCCCCCCCCCCACACACAGGCTGTGGTGTGTTTATCAGGGTCAGAACTCCAGCAGGCTGAGGCGGTAGGGTCCACAGTGGTGGGGCAGGGCTGCTCTGTCCAGAGGAGAGCGGCTAGCTCCACAGACCTCACTGTGAGAGGCAGACTGCAGGTTGCTGGATGTGGGTTTGTGGGGGTTTAAAGTTCTAATGCTTCCCCAGTGGCTGTGAGAATGGAGAACCCTGTTTAATGCATCTCATTGCATCTCACTGCTGTGTGTGTTTGCAGTCGCTGAAGCGAATCAAGCGCTCGGATCGACGGGGGGCCGAGTCGGTCACAGAGGAGAAGTTCACCATTCTGTTTGAGTCCCAGTTCAGTGTCGGGGGCAACGAGCTGGTTTTCCACGTCAAGGTGAATCCTGTGGGTCGCTGCAGGGCTACGTCCGGGTTAGAGCTGGTCCTTTTTCCGGTTCCTTTGTTGTCTTGCGTTTCAGTTCCTCCCTTTTTTCTGGACCCTGCAGACTCTGTCCCTGCCCGTGGTGGTGATTGTTCACGGCAGCCAGGACAACAATGCCACAGCCACAGTCCTGTGGGACAACGCCTTTGCTGAGCCGGTGGGTGGGATGCTCTGTCTGTGGGTTTGCTCAGCCGCTCTTCTGCTTTATCCTTTAAGACTGTGACCGTCTCTAAAAAAACCTCCACTGGCCACTGCTCAGGGTCAGGCCAGCCCTCATTCATTATCAGGAAATGTTACCAAGTAAAAGACAGTCACTTTCAGTGAACTGACTAAAACCCAGTGTCAGACTCCAAATCCGTGGGTCTGTACGTCAGTCAGGGGCAGATAAACCCAGAACAGATATGAAGCACTGCTATTCACAGCCAGCAGATCTCACACTTAAACATTCACAGAGATCACAGACGGCTTCTCCTCCAGAACATCTCCATAGAATTAATACAAGTTAGCTCACTGATTAGAGTTAGACTTCCATGGATAAACCCTTTGCCTAATAAACTAATGCTATGTGCAAACTAAATGGAAGGGGAGGGGGGGGGGGGGGGGTTAGGCCCTTTTGTGACCTCTGTTTCACTCCATTCAGCGTTAGTCTCCCAAAATAACACCCTCCTCTTCCACCTTCCTGGTTTCCTTCCACGATGAAATCACCCTCTGACAGACAGCAGTGTGTCTAAACTTCCATAATGAGGAGAAGGTCTCCTGATTCCTGTTCCTCACGGGGTCAATTTTCGCCCCCCCCCCTCTCTTTTAGGGTCGCGTGCCGTTCATTGTTCCTGACAAGGTGCTGTGGCCTCAGCTGTGTGAGGCCCTTGATATGAAGTATAAGGCAGAGATGCACAGCGGGCGCGGCCTCACGGAGGACAACCTGGTCTTCCTGGCCCAGAAGGCCTTCTCCAGCAGCAGCAACAACCCGGAGGACTACAGCAGCATGACCATGTCCTGGGCCCAGTTCAACCGGGTGAGCCCGGCAGGCTTCAGCTGTCAGCTGGCCTCCAGCTTTCTCTGGAAGGAAAAGGCTCCTTCTGCCTCGGCCAGAAGTTTTCAATTCAATTTTATTTCTATTGCTCCAAATCCCAACAACAGTTATCTCCCAGCTCTCCAAACAGAGCAGCTCAGACTCTGAGTTATTTACAGAAGAACAACAGCTCCCACCAAGAGCAGCTCTAGGAGACACAGGGAGGAAACAACTGTCTTTAGGAGGAAGAAACCTGGAGCAGATCCAGATTTAAATCAGGAGGCTTTGTGGGACTTAAACCAAGCCTTTTTGGGTTAAAACACCAGGCAGCTGAGTACCATGGCCACAGGTGAAGGGTAGATATCTGACATCTAGTTCTACTACTACTAAAGGAATGGAAGATAAAATGACAGGGAAAGACTTTTATTTCTATTGAACCTGGAGAATTGTAAGTCTGTGTTGACTGTTTTGTTAAAGCTGTAACTGAAGTAGTTAACTCCAGAGCAGCAGGGTGAAGTTGGGGAAACCAGAGTGAGCGTTGTGGCATAAGCTGTCCCTCCACCGTCAGCTGGCTCAGCCCAGGCAGAGTCTGGGACTTGAGAACTTTTAAGGGTCTCCCTTGTCCCCCACTGAAGCACAGCAGACAAACATGATTCAAGGAGCCTGAATAAGGACGAGTGAGCAACTGTCAGAACGTGTGTGTTGATTAACTGGGTGAAAAGGCTAAAGAATTGCCTTTGCTTAGTCTAGATATTTTCCAAAATCCTGTTGGAACACGTGAGCGGCCGGCCTGAATAAACTCTCCAGCAGCTGCTGGAAGGGCTGGTTTCCCCCCCCCCTGCCTCCCACCTGGGTGGCTCTAATCCCTTTGTGTGGCCTGGATTGTTGACCTGATGCGTGGACTGACCTGAGGTGTGTGCTTTTAACCTGCTGACAACGTTTCATGTGTACAGGAAAACTTACCTGGACGCAACTTCACCTTTTGGCAGTGGTTTGACGGCGTAGTGGAGCTCATGAAGAAACATCTCAAACCTCACTGGAATGATGGGTGAGGAATCCCGTGACTGAGGATGGTGTTTGGTTTAGTGACCAGTCCGGTGAAGTAGAAACGGAAAGAACTTGAAGCAGATTTGCACCAACTTTGTTTCTGTTGAAGTCCCAGACTGACTGACTGTCTCTGTGTGCTGCAGGGCCATCCTGGGCTTTGTGAACAAGCAGCAGGCCCAGGACATGCTGCTGTCCAGGCCCAACGGCACCTTCCTGCTGCGCTTCAGCGACTCAGAGATTGGAGGCATCACTATTGCCTGGGTGGCCGACAACCCCAACAAACAAGGTGAGCACTGAGCGGCCCCCGGCAGAACAACAACACCCACCGGGTTGTGGTGTCCTAATGTATCCCCGTGTTCCTCTGGACCCGCCCATCACTGCGGGAACTAAGCCGTGTAGGTGATCATAAGGTCAGGCCAGCTTTAGGGGCTGCTCTACACAGGGCTATGTGGCTACAGGTAGGACGATGGGGGCAGAATAATCTGGTGATTCATTCTTTCTGTTTTCATAGTGATGGTATCGTTTAGCTCTCTTTCAGTTTTTGTGTCAAACCCTGCTTGCTCAGCAGGACATGTGTGGATAGACACAGCTTTTAGCACAATAGCTCTTCTTTATTTCTTATGTGCTTCATACGCCTTCTGCAAAACATGCATGTCCAGGCTCTACATAGATCACAGGGGAGGATATCTATTAGATTGTTTAATAGTACCTTAAGCTTTTGTTAAAAAATGTTAATTCAATTAAGATTACATTTAAATGTAAACCAAACTAGATATTTGAAATCAAATAGACAAAAGGTACAAAATAAAGTCAACTGAACCCAAATTTGGTTGAAACTCTGTAAAAATGGTATTTTGACCAGTTTTTCCAGGCTTGTGATGTGGACCTACATCTCTTTCTGAAATGGTCCACTGACACAGAATAATGCAGCAGATTTCCTCCACGCTATGCACCATGTATGCAGACACCAGCTATCGATATGTTAAGCAACCTTTACTTGCCACATTACCACTGCACGGAACTTTCAATTGAAGTACTTTTCTATATATCTCCAATGAGTCAAGACTATTTAATTCTTCCCAAATAATCCTCCTGCTTTCTGTCGTCCTGTATTTGGAAGGAGAATGTAGCCTGGTCCAGGCCTGGTGTTTCTTTGAGTAGAGCCATTGCTGATGCTGTGCCTGTCCCTTTAGGGGAGAGGTTGGTCTGGAATCTGCTGCCCTACACAACCAAGGACTTCTCCATCCGCTCTTTGGCTGACCGTATCAGTGACCTGAACCATCTCCTCTTTCTCTACCCTGACCGGCCCAAAGACGAGGTCTTCGCAAAGTACTACACCCCCCCACTCTGTACGTATTAGCTGTGCTCATCGAAACCTAAACCCGGTGCTGGTAGCTTGGCATCCGTCTGTAAATAAGGGTTTTTTTGTTTTTTCTCCGTTTGCTTCACGTTTTGAAGCTTAAAATGTTGTTTCTAACTGACGCTGCTATGTGTCTCTGACAGCTAAGGCAGTGGATGGATATGTGAAACCAGAGATCAAACAAGTCGTACCAGAGTAAGTTGGACTTTTTCTCTCTTGACCCCTCCTTTCTGCTACCTGGGCACACCTGGAAGCACAGCTGGCCACAGTCCACGCAGAGGCAGACATTCCTGAGGCCTGCTTTTATGGTGGTGGGTTTGAAGTCCTGCCTCCAGCTGCTGCCCCCCCCACATTCTGACTGGCTTGTTTACAATCCTCCACAGGGTGTGGTTACCCCTGCTGCCGGTCCACTTCTCTACCAGGTCTTTTCCTCCCTACTACGGTCAGCCAGCCCCTGATGCTGGAGCCCACAGAACTGGACTGGCAGACCAGTAAAGGCCTCCTTAGGGAGGTGTCGTTAATGAGCTGACTGGGGTGTGGCGCCAGCTAGTGATGGCGAGATGAAGCTTCATAAAGCCTTAAAGCGTTCCATCCAATTGGTTCACTCATGAAACTTCATGCTGCCATCCAGGGTGCCCCCCCGTCTCCCCACTGGCTACTGGGACAGGCTGCTGTGGGCATGTCGCCCAGGCCAGAGCGCCTTCATCCCCTTATTCAACATCCTAGTGCTCAATGCTCACAAAGAAACTAAATGAAAACCTTGACAAATAAAATAAACTTTCATAAAAGTTGATACTTCTAATAAGTCTCACCAATCCCAACAAAACTAAGACTTTTTCCAGGCGTTTTGAACTGGATTTAGCATCTAAAAGTGGATTTTACTGTGCGCCCAGTGCACGGGCCAGAGCTCCTTTTTCTGGCCTGTCCAGACTCTGTGGCTGAAGTCCCTCGGGTAGATCCACAGTGGTGCCAGACTGCCATCTACTGGTGCATCACAGCATGGTGGGAAAATAAAGGGCAGACTTTAAGGGAGAGTTTTACACCCGGTAGAGGTATGAGTGGATGGATCCAACCATGAAACGGCTGACATGCACGGGCCCGCGTCTCTGTCTGGTTGCTTTAGTTCTGACCCGGTATGAGAGGAAATGGTCATCAGAGGAGCTGCAGTGAGGGGAAGCAGCTGGTGGAGTTACAGCCCTGCTTTGTCTTCCAGGTTCACCAGCCCCAACCCAGAACCCAGCGGGGGAGCCTCCACCTTCATGGAGCAAACAGCCTCCCCGTCCGTCAGCCACCCCGGCAGCTTCATCGTCTACCCCTCCATGTAAGCCGCGCTGCTCAGGTCCCGCTGACGGAGCACAGATCAGGCTGAACAGGCAGAGTACCGCTGCCCAGTCAGGCTGGGGGCTGGCCAGTGTCCCACATGGGGGGGCTGACCAGCCTCCCTCCCTGTATGTCAGAGCGATTCTGGGGAAACTTGTTTCCTTTCTGTTTGTAAGGGACAGGCTGTCTTTATCCGTCTTTAAGGCGTGGCCAGCTGCAGTGGGGGCCCCGGCTGGGGGTTATGTAGCACCACTGATGTGTCATGAAGCTGAACAGGGGTGATGCATAGCACTGAGCGTGTCTCCCTCCGCTCTCCTGCTCAGCAGTGACAACATGCTGGATCCAGACGGGGACTTTGACCTGGAGGACACCATGGACGTGGCCCGCCATGTGGAGGAGCTGCTCCGCCGGCCCATGGCCAGCCAGTGGAACAGCCAGCAGCCCTGAGCCCCCCCAACCATTCCTGAGCCTCACCGGGGGGTCAGCTGCTGTGGCCCTCCACCGGATGTCCACCATTGGTCCACCAGCCCTCCACGGCTCTGCAAACTGCCCCTCAGTCCGGTTCCTTACACAGGCCTCTCTGGCTGGGGGTACTCTCTCAGGACTGCCATTGATCCGGTTTGGCTCTTTGGTGTTTTTCTCCAAAACACATCCAGGTCTGTCTGAATAGCAGCTGTTTGTTTCCGGTTGTCCTGACGAGCTACAGCGGGCAGCAGGGTTCTGCAGCTGTTGGATTAGTTGGCAGGAGACCAGAACATTCAGAGCTTTGTGTTTTCTGGGGAGGCCCTGTCCTCTCCAACAGATATTAACCTCTGTCTGCATAACGGTACCTTTTAGCTGTGTTCCTATCATTTACACTTAGATTTATCTTCCATACACATCTTTGTTAAACATGTCGGGTGGCATGAACGAACAAACAGAGCGACCAAAGCAACTGCTGGTGGTTTCACACCTCCATCATGAAGAGGGAAAACTCCCACCAGGTCTTGTTTGTTCCTGTGATGATGGCAGAGAAGGATCCATTAGTCATTCCTACATCTGAAGGGGCCTCTGGACCCCCGTGGGCGCTTCTCCTCTGCAGTCTGAACCTCTCCCAGAAGGTTTCAGACACCACCCCCCCAGCCAACACCCCCCCCCCCCCCCCCCCTCTGACCATGCTTAACAGTGGCTGGACATCTTTGGACTCCACCCCCAGTGCACACCCTGGTTTGGTACCTTTGGTCTCTTACTTACTTTGTGTTCATCTGTTATGTTGAATAATGAGCAGTTTGTCAGAAAGTCACCATCTTTATTTCATCTACCAGGACACCTAAATATTTCCATGTCAGCAGCCCAAACCCTTCAGTGCTGCAGCTCTGTATGAGAGGGCTTTCTGTGCCTGAAGCTGGTGGATGAGCTCCTGATCTGGACTTCCACTGCCTGCTCCCAGCTGTGCCCCTGGTTGTAGACAGCCTTTGTTTCCTAGGTCAGCTGTTAGGCCGAGGTTATGGGGCCTTTAGAATAGCTAGCTTTGTGTTGGGTCACAGCTGCACCAGCATCCAGGCAGGAAACACTATCTTCTGACTATCGTGTTCCATTTGCATGTAAATTGTTGAAAAGATTACTGACTCAGGCTTTCTCAGTCATCTGTCAGAGAGGTAGCAGTCTGAGGGACAGGAAACGGGGACTGAGTCCTTGTTGGCTATTGGCAGGGATTCCTGCCAGCTTTGGGAGCTCTGTGCTGCAGCCTGAGGCCTCTCAAGGCTCTCAGGACCCCTGAACTTCCTTCATTTAACACTTGTTCTTTGTAATTCTTTGGCTCTAATGGCCTTCATTGGTAAGTTGCTTGATTGGGAGACGAGGAAAACAGAAAAGGATCCCGAACCAGAAACTGTTAAAGGGATCAGAGCCGGACCAGAAGCTGAGTCCAGGGAGGTGCTGGAGCTCTTTATGGCACGCTGTGGGAACAGTCGTCTCACTTTGAATGTGAACTAAATCAAGGAGATGGTTGGAGATTTCTGGAGAAATGTTTCCATCATGTGAGAAGAAGTGGAGGCGGTTGAAGAATAGTAATACCTCAGTGTGCATGTAGAAAGGGTTAGGGTTAAGACTGGACTGCAGACTCGGCAGAGAACCGTCTGAAGAAGGGTCAGAGCAGACTGAGCTGAAGCTAAGATCCTTTAGTGTCTGCAGATGCTGCAGATCTTCTGTCTGTTTAGAGCTCTGCAGCAGAACAGGGACCTGAAAAGGCTCCAGAACCTGATCCAAGAGCTGGTTCTGTTCTGGGGACCACTGTGGAACCTCTGGAGATGATGATGCAGAGAAGGATTTTGCATCAGATCCAGAACATCATGGAAAACCCTGAGCATCATCTTCATTAGACCACCTGGAAAACAGAGTCTTCAGAGAGAGGCTTCTTCAGATTGGACCGATCAGACCACCTTTCCAGCCCACTGACATCACAATTTATAATAAGTCCTTAACTAAATGAGTTACACCAGCATTTAATTTCCCTCTGGGATGAAATATTTTTTTAATTGAATTGAGATTGAATTTATTTTAGGTTGGTGTTGGCAGTAGGGAAAATAAATCTTTTCTAATTACCCATTTTCAGTCGTTGCTTTCAAACACAAAAACGATGCAAAGAACAGAATCCAGACCCCTTTACGAGACCGCCAGACTATAATAAACAGCCAGGCAAGAAAAAGGGCTAAATAATCAAACTGATGCAGTAATACTGACAACAAAATGAGTTTGATTAGAAAAACTGTTGCAGAAAGGAAAAAAGATAGCCTAAAAAAAGGAATATATTTTCAAAATACAGCTGGAGTTTGTTTCCAGGTTGTTGTATGTTCTCCAATGTTAAGGAGACCTCTTCTCCCTCTGGGCTCCCATAATGCACCTCTTCTCCCCGTGGGCTTCCATGATGCACATATCGTCCCTCTGGGGGTCCCATGGTGCACCTCGGACGAACAGAAGGGGTATAATGCTATTATAATAACAAACGTGAATCACTGTACTTGTGTGCAGCTTTTTTTCTTTCTAAATACTCCACATGTTGTCAGCTTTGAAGCTTCGTGGCCTCATCAGAGAGCTGCTCGCCACATATATTATAAATGTATATATTATATATAAATTATTCAGAGCGGCCTCCGTCTATCCCAATAGATCCATATTTCAATCAGAAATCCTGTTATTGTCTGTTAAAAGCTTTTATTTTCTTCCAAGTCATCGGCTCTTCCTCTGTCTCCTCATTGGTTCTTTTCCCGTCGAAAAGAAACTTTCCAGAGACGTCTGTTTTTTACTCATTTACCAACTTGTGGCTTAATTTTCAAAATAAAAGATTTCACAAACTAGAAGATTATTCAGGGTTGGAGAATAAATACAACGGAACCAATGAGTTATTGCTAGGGCGGCCGGAACCCGGAGCCAGCTGCTCCACGGACCGGTACCGGTCCGCGGCCCGGGGGTTGGGGACCACTGGTGTGGACCCAGCTGGTCCAGGCAGACAGCTGCCCCTCCTAGTTCTGGTAATATGTAGACATTTTTAGTATAAAAAAAAATAGGACGGCTTTGGATTAATTTGGCTTTTTTATTGAATTAATTTGACATGATCGTATTGGTTTATGTCTTCAGTTGACCGGACTTCCCTCCGGACAAAGGCGGAAGTCGGCCTGCTCGGAGGGGGGGTTTGCTGGCCAGGCTTCAGCTACCGGCCACTTTCACGGTAAAGAAGAGCAGTTTGCACTTTGGCCTCAGAGCTCAGTCACAAGGCTTTTAACCGGTCGAACCACTTCCTCCATTGTTTCATCACATGACGGACCATCACGTGCAGGCGCGCCCTCTCATTGGCTGGCTTTAGTGACATAGCAGCTCCGTGGTTCTAATTGGCCGGTGCACAGCGCTTCCTGGTTGGCAGCGATTAAACAAGTGAAGTGGGTTTAAATCTGGCTCTCGGCGTCCCCCCTGAACGGCTCTCAAAATGCGGCTGAGACTCGGCTGCCTCCCGGCCCAGCTGCTCCTCTCCTGCGTGGCGGTGTCCGCGCTGTCCCGGTTCCCCACTCTGGACCACCTCCGGCCCGCGGCGGAGGACGGGGCGCAGGCCGCCGCGGTGTCCGGGCTGCTGCGGCGGCTGCTGGGCGGCAGGGCGAAGGACTTCGTCGTGTCGGTGAACCGGAGCCTGGCCACCGACGGCCTGGACGTGTGTGAGCTCCGGTCCACCAAAGACAACCGGATAGCGGCGGCCGGCAGCAGCGGGGTGGCCGTGGCCTCCGGGCTCTACAACTACCTCAAGTACTTCTGCAACTGCCATGTCTCCTGGTCTGGGAACCACATGGACGTCCCGAGCCCTCTGCCGCGGCTCAGCGGCGTGCTGCGCATCAGCACCCCGCACAGGTGAGAGGCTCCAGGCCCACAGCAGAGCCACACACACACA